AGGATATTGAAGGTCAGCTCGTAGTTGGTCATGGTAGGCGTAGTCTCCGAGGGCATTCCCAGGATGCCGTGATTCTGTATGTCATCCAGCAACCTGTTCCGCTCCATGATACTAGTCTGCGGCATATTAATGGCTGCTTGTTTAGTCTGTAGGTTGCCCACCTGGCCTCTCTCTCCAAAAATATATGAAGAGGGGGTAAATCCAGGAGGATTTCCATTGCAGCTGACGGTGTGGTGCTAATTGCTCCCATTACGGTTATGCATGTTAATCTCTGCAGCCCAGAGAGTTTGGCTTTGGCCATCCATTATGATCCTTTCGGCCACCAAATAATAGATCCGTATGTTATCATTGGTCTGAAGACCGTGATGTAGATCCAGTAAATTTGTTGCCCCAGGATTTACCACAAATACGACGGCATATTCATAAGGATAGCTTTGCTTTGTGGATTACCTTTTCCAGATGGGAGTTCCAATTAAGTGACCTATCTAGAGTGATTCCCAGATATTTCAGCTCCTCCGCAAATGGAATAGTTTCACCCATTAAGGAGGGAGGTCTTAAGTCCTCCAGCTTCCTTTTCCGGGTGAATGGTACTATTACTGTTTTTGAGGGTTTACAGACATCTGTTCCATGTCACACCAGTTACTCACTGAATCCAGTGTCTCTTGAAGGGTATTCGATATTACTCTTTCAGAGTTTCCTCTGACTAGTATGACTAGATCGTCTGCATATCCTAGAACCTCAACCTCCCACAGTGTGAGAATAGCCAGTAGGTCATCCACAAGAAGTGACTACAAAAGTGGGGAGAGAACCCCATCCTGAGGACATCCTCTTGTGGCTCTAAAACTAACTATTTCTCCCTGTAGAGACTTTGTTATGGTGTTGTGTGATAGCATAGCACGAATCCAGTCGCCTATAGTAAGCTCAATTCCTCTGGCAGCCACTGCTGCATATAAGGAGTCAGGCAGTGCATTATTAAATGCTCCCTTAATGTCGAGAGAGGCTCCCAGCGCATTTTCCTTCATTTGAAGGAATTGGGTGATCTTCTCGACTAGGTTGTTAAGTGCTTGTTCTGTTGATTTTCCTGTCTGATAGGCGTACTGATGGGTATTGGGGGGGTGATGATTTAGGATATCCCCCCTGATATATCCGTCCAGCACTTTCTACAGGCCTTTCAACAGAAAAGGTGGATACGTACCATTGCTTTAAATCATCAGCATACATTAAATAATCAACCTTGTGTGTTTAATCGTCCGCTATGTTATAAATATTATAAAAAAGAGTGGCCCAAGAATTGATCCTTGTTGTACTACAGAGATAGCAACATATTCGACAGACTTGAATTCATTCAGGGTGACATATTGAACTCTGTTTGACACGTAACATACGAAGAGAGTATTCAAATTTTCAGGAAGTCCGAAAATACATAGCCTTCTAAACAACATAGTATGGTCTATTCTGTCGATCGCCTTGGAAAAGACAGTATAGATTATGTCAGTTTGGGATTGATCGTCAATGGATTCCTAACTAAATTTCGTAGCACAAAGCAGATTGGTGGTTGTAGAGTATGTAGATCGTCCTTTCCTAAAACCATGTTGATGTATAGTGATTTTATTGCTGATTTTGTCATAAATAACGTCATATAATAGAAATTCTAATACTTTAGCAAAATCATATTATTGAGTTGGTACGAAAGTTTGATATGTCAGATTTGGCATCCTTTTCAAAAATTGGACAAACTTTAGAACGTTTCCACATATCCGGAAAGTAACCATCCTTTAACATTAAATTAAAAGTTATTACCAAAGGGGGAGCAAAAATACATGCACAATCTTTTAATAAAAATGCGGGTATACCGTCTGGGCTTGTGGTAACTTTATTTTTAATCCTCTTTAGTGCTTTCACCACATCATCCTTTTTAAATTCCGATACATATATTGCTCAGTTATTATTATTAAAACTAGATTCATTATTTATCCCCCAAGCAATTTACTTCATAAAGGTGTGATTTGTTTGTTATAGTAGTTGGTAGGCTTTCGGAATTTCCATAACTGATATTTTCTGAGATGACAATAAATTATTTTACCAGTTATTTTTACCTTTGTTGACTAATGCACTTGCGCGAATGTCATACGCCTTTAGCATAATTATGAATGAATTGTCTATAATAAATTTTCTTTTTGTGTAGTAATAAAATTTGAGAATAATAATTGTCATAGGTGTATTTAAATAAGAATTCAAACTAATAGAATCTTAATGACTATCTAATGGTGTCAATAAACTTTTAACTATAGAAAAATTTAGATACAAAGAGAAGTAAACTGGAAATTTAAATATCTTCTGGGTCGTCTTGTCAGGATATAGGATGCGTAAAACTCACTTTACTTTATAAGAAACTTTATTCAATCAAAGTATATGAATGAAAACACTACAACGAAAATAAGTATGCAAATAATTCAAAAATACTTACATTAACCACTTGACACTAACCAAATAAGTTGGTTATCTCAGTCCTGTCACCCATCAATACTACAGAAATAACTAAACAGCGGCGGACCTTTCATGGGGGCCTTTAGCTCGGCCGTTCCCTGACTCGGCATTGTCTCAATGCCATCAATGTCTTCTTCTGTTTCTTGTTCAGAGCGTTTGTCTTCATTTCGCTTAATACATTTCTTTATCCGTCCTGGAGGTAGTATGGATTTTTATGCTTTTTTCCCTCTGATGTAAAGATAAGTCTATAATATAGTATCTATCTCGATCTAGTACCTTGGACACATTTCTTTATTCTTCCTGGGGGTAGTATGGCTTTAATGCCTTTTTTTCTGATGTAAAGGTATGTCTGTAATATAGTACCTATCTTAATCTAGTACCTTGGACACATAGTAGGGCCCAACATATATCTTGACCAGTTTCTGGGTACAATCAATAAAGATTCCAGTATTTTTATTATAACATAGTCTTTCTAGTATTTGTTGTTGTTGTTCTTCCTTTTCCTGTTATAGTTTTGCTCATTGATAGTTTGACTAACTCTAATATTACCAATTACTGTATTACGTATTGCCTCTTTGGCACTGACATAACTTTGATCATCATTCTCTTCTTACATATCGTTTACATCCGAATACATGTTGTTTTGCATTACGTATTGCCTCTTTGGCTCTGACATAACTTTCAACATCATTCTTTTCTTCTTACATTTCGTTTACATCCGGATACATGGTGTTTTTTATAACTGAATAAAATTTCTGCTGGGCTCTTTTGAGTCGACTTTAGCATAGTAATATTAAACGAAAGTTGAACCTTTTCAAGGGTTTCATGCCATTTGTTAAGAGTGTCGCACTTCTTTAGTAGGGTTGGCATGAGAGTTCAGTTATATCCCTCAACTTGCTCATTGGCCAGTGGTGTATGTACAGCTACATATGTTAACTTGATTTCATATTTCTCACAGAATTTGGCCTGGTGGGCAAGGGATCATCAAAACTGGAACATGGAATGTGGTTCAGTTTTATTCAGAGATGAATCTCGTTTTGGCTTGCCCAGCGACAGCAGACGTCTACGAATTTGGAGAATGTCAGGGGAGAGATATAGCTAAAGATTTATCTAACGCACAGTAGCTTTTAAAGAAGACAGTGTTATGATATGGGAAGGAATACATGTTGAAGGATAATCTGATCTGTACATCTGCAGGAGTACCATGATTGGACAAATGTATGTCGATGACAACTTTTTCAAGTTGTTATTGGCGAAAATTTTATTTTTATTTATTATTATATTATATTCTTCCCATTTTATGGGTACAAATCCAACAAAATGTGATCGACTATATCATCAGAAGCATGTCCAGACATATACTTGAAGTAATTAGAGTGGGAGGCCAGAGCACGAGTTATTGATGATAGGTTTAGGACATTGCTATTCCCCACGTCTAAACAATTCTTAAATTAAAATAGTTTTTCCTTGTTTTTTTCATAAACAAATTATGCAAAAAGGTTAATAAAGAGGTTGTCAGTTCCTCCAAAAACGATTTTTTTTAGTCCAATCCTTTTGTGAAAATATAAAATATCCTTAATTTTCTGTGCACAGTGTACAATATCCGCCACAAAGAAACTGTAAACAATATATATAAATACGATGCATCCATGATACTTTCACTCGATAATACTATACAATAAGCGCAGGACAAACTTAAAATTCGGTGGATTAAATCTGCCCATTGTAACAGGGTGGTTAAATACCTGTTTCACCTCATTAATGATCTTGATCAAATAGGCAGAATTTCACAGAAAAAAACTTATTTTACTAAATGGTTTGTTCTTCCTAAACTTCATTTGTATCACATTACCGTTGAATTGACACAATGTTGAGAGGAGATTTGTGTATAGATTTGCGTTTTGTACGTCTGGGGTTCACCACACTAACAGGGATAAATAAATTAAATGGCACACAGTAAATTATTTGAATCCTTGAATATTACTTAGCAAATTTAGATTTGCTTAACAGAAATAACTAAATTATTTAGTCAATAGAGCAACCCGGAGAATCTAGCATCAAATTAGAAATCAAATTCAATCCAGTTTATTTGAGCAGGATTGTCAGGCTCTACAATTACCAAGAGGATCGAACATGACAGAATTTAAACAAATCTAAACTATTTCATTGCCTTATTTTAAATTTGTAGATGTAAATTTAAATAAATTTAGTAAGTGGATTGGATTTATACAATAATTAAAGTTTCACTATTAGTACCATCTTTCGATTTATCTCTCTTGAGGACCACTAAAAAATTGTTTCTAAAAATTCTACAAAATATGAAGTAAAAGGAAATTATATGATTTTCGAGGACTAGCATAACTTAAATGTTACTTATATAAATAAAAGGGGGGGCAGTTTGAGCATTTATAAATATGTATTTATTCTTGAATGATTTTGTTCTGTCGAAATTTTTATTGTTTGTAATTTAATTTGATAATGTTTGATCTTATAATGTTTATAGAATTCATAACAGCTTCGTGGTTGAGTGGTAACGTATTTGCCTTTCATCCAGAAGTTCCGGGTTCGATCCCCGGTCGAGGAGCTGGGATTTTTTCTAAACCAGAAATTAATTCTAGCATACTCGGACATTGGGTGTGTGTTCATTGTCTCTAAATGTGTAGCCTTCTTCCACACAAGGCATCTTGAGGTACTTTTAGGTATACAGGGGGTTATTTTACCTGTGGTGTTGAATATTAACCATTTCTTATTTGCCATATATGTATTTGTAGTTGAAACTGATTATTCATAATTAGAAACGCCACATATAAGGTGATTAGAAAAAACTTTGCGAACGTATTGTATTGTCTGTGTTTAATTATTGCAACGTAGTATACTATCCTTGTCTAGATTTAAATAACAGTAATAGAATACAAAAGGTACAAAATACTTCTTGCCGTTTAATTTATGGATTAAGAAAATTTGAACATGTGCAAAAATTAAAGAATTAAAATGGCTAAAGGAAAATTATATTTAGACCTTCAGAATAAATTCATACATCGTGGTCTCATACACAATTTAAATATAACACAAACACACATATTAAATATGCCACATCATAATTATTGAATGAGTATTGAAAATATTTAAAAAAATTAAATATAAACTTACAACAGATGATAGTATTCCAGCATTCCTACTAAAGGATTGTACCATTTTATTAGCTAAACCTCTTGCCATAAACTTTAATATATCTCTACAAATGAACACATTATCTCTAACTTGAAAAGGTCTAAGAATTGTTCTATATTCAAAAACGAAAATAAAACCTCTATAGAGAATTATAGGCCAATTAATATTTTGTGTAATTTCGGCAAATTGTTTGAAGTAATTTTATATGTAATATTTTTTTAGTCATTTAAAAGCTCAAATGCTCTAACCAGTACAGATTTATATAGGATAGATCTACTACCACAAATTTAATAAGAATAAGTGTGATACAGTTTCTAGTTGAGACTTTAGATCGGGGATTGCAGGATGATGTCATTTATACGGGCTTTTCAAAGGCATTCGACAGAATTGACAATGGATTTTGCCATATAAACTATGTAATGTAGGACTTAGTGATGGATTCTTCAAGTTTCTTTTATTCCTATTTAAACAAAAGAAGCCTATATGTGAAATACCCGGGTTTTAAGTCCGTTGAGCAACTTCAGAAGTCCCGCAAGGTTCCGTTCTAGGGAATCTGTTGTTCATTATTTTCATAATCATTTTCTGTAAACTTAGTTGTAATGCTCTATTATATGCAGATGTTCTAAAACTATATTCGTCGATTTCCAACTTTGAGGACTGTATTAGTATTCAGGAAGATTTAAATGAGTTGAATCGTTGGTGCGAAAGAAATTTATTACCTCTTAACATTAGTAAGTGCAATTGCATGAGTTTTATGAGAAAACTACAGCCAATTGAATTCACATATTCACTTAACGAAGCTAATAAATAAATAAATAAATAAATAAATTAATTAATTAATTAATTAATTAATAAATTTTAATTAACCATCTAATTAGCAAATCATTTTCTTATATTACTGTTTCTTTTTTATTATTATCTTTTTATATTCATTTATTATTATTATTATTATATTATCGTTGGTCACTTAGTAGCCATTAATTATTTATTAAGTATATTATTTGTATACTTTCAACACTATTTATCATTGCTTATCATAATAATAATTTTAAATGATTCATTACTTATAGGTATTCTTTAATTTTGTATACATATAGATATTTTTTTTAGTTTTAATAATAATTTACTTATATTATCTTACATAAAAAGGGTTAAGTATAAGTATAGTCATATAGTTAAACTTTGCCCTGTGAGTATCCTGTTGAATGTATGTTATATACATTTTCATAGTAAAGACGTTTTATTTGCGGTTGCCAGATGTTGGATAGTCCTCCCATGGCTCCTATTCAGCGCGCGAGCAAGTTACCTAGAGCCACACTCCACACCTAGCAAGATTAGTAAGTGTAGATACCAGAACCATGTGCCTTATGCAGATGGAGAGAACCCAGAATGACTGCTTTCTGCATTTGACCTGCCAGCTATTCACCTGATTATTGGCAGATCGATATGGTCCTTAATTCCGAGAGCAGCATGGACTTCAAGTGCACTGATTATTAGGACGACCATCTTAACCGAGTAGCCTGGGTACAGTACTGGAGATCGCTATATTTTGTACGCTTTTTCTCCTTCAAGGTGATGTTTTTCTAGGCAGGGGCCGAAAATTTGATGACATACATCACCTTGGTTTAGTGATCGCGGAGGACTATGTCAGGCTTATTGGCTTGGATTAGCCTGACAGTCGGGAAGGAGTAGTTCCTAAAAATGCGACATTTCTCGTTCTCGACAACGATCTCAATATCTTCGGGGACGTAAGGCAGCACTGGTGTCTTAGGTGGTAATATAGCACTCGTAACGTAGCGCTATGTCGGTGGATGTAGGCCGAATTCGCATATATGAGGCATGCAGAAAGTTAGCGCATGAACGATTTCGGTGTCTGACGGCATGTCCTGCAGTTGATATCAGGAACCTCTACACGTCACATGCGGCTACGGTAGACCAAAGTGTTGATAACACTCTCCTGGCAGATCATAATGAATCTCTCGTTCTCCGACTTAAGCCCAGCTGACGCCAGAAAAGCGAATGCCCTAATCGATAAACTCAGTGTTTCTATGTTCCTAAAGCAGACACCATGCTGGTGTTTATCGACGTGCTGCTGAAACAGTTTCAGGTTTTAAGGGGATTTGATTGAAGCTCAGTGACTGACTCTAGCATGGTGTCTAATGCGAGACCGAGTTCATCTGCTGCTCTTTTTGCTGCCTTGAACAATCCTGCTCCCACTCATCAATCTGTAGAGATTCGTGATGTTTTATAAACCATAAGAGGAGATCTGAGCTCCTGAAAATGTTACATGCCATACTTAGTAGTGCTACTCTGCCATGCGTATACTTCAGGCTCAAGAGTCCTCGACCGCCCCGTTGACATGGGAGGTACACACGAAGAACGAACGATTTAGGATGAATATTTCCATAAATATTCATCATTTTGCATGTATCTCTGTCTAATTGGCGCAGCTCGTTTACTGTCCACTTCATTACTCCAAAGGAGTAGAGCAGAACCGGAACGGCAAGCATGTTAGTAGCAGACACCTTATTCTTCCAAAAATTTTGGAATACCAAATCTTTCAGAGTCGGCATAAATAATAAAGACGTTTTATTATTATTATTATTAAATTGTGATTATTGGATATGAAACAGTATGGGTCCGAGGATGGCACCCATGCGCCATACCCAAAATTACAAATTGATTCTCTACGGTATAATTAAATTTGAAGTAGATTTTTATTAAATGTTTATTAACAGTTTTGAATCTTGTATTGTAGTGAATTGAATTCGCCATAGTTTCTTTCCATAACGTAAATCCACCATCGAGTTTTGAAACATGTCTAATAACGTATTTCATTTATTTGTTTTTACTAGGACACCTCAGTAAAATGGAACACACGTGATAATTCTCTTTTATTTATAAAAATATTCAGTGTTTATAATTTTTATAGTTATTTTTTTATTTATGGTCACTCCTAAGTTTAATAACCGTGTGGTATCTCGTAGTGTGGCATTAATTATTTTATAAGGTGGGGCTACAAAATGTATATCTTATATTCTCTATTTATTTTTGACTAGTTTACAAGCAATGCGTGACTCGAATTAAAAGTAAGGGAAACGCTGTAATAAATAAATTTATTATTGACGATAGATAACAATATTTTATAAATAATTATCTGCCCGTGATAATGTAACAAGTTAATAATTTACTTATTGTTGTCAATTCTATATAGCGCCTTTCAGCTTATTTAATCAATTGCGAGATTATGCTCAAGATAATTGTTTAGAAAAAACAAAAACAATAAAATCTATGTTGATAATAAATATTACATACTTTCGAATTGTCACAGCGGTAAGGTTACAATAAGATGCTTAAAACTACAAATCAATTAAATTCTATAAATATTTTACACTTATATCAATAAAAAATCGAGTTATAACTGTTGTGTTTACGGGTATTACAAATAACTATAATGTACAATGCACATTATTGTTAATAATGTGTTTCAATTAAACACCTTTATAAGTATTTATGCAGAAAATGTCTGATATATGTACACGGTGTTCACTTTAAGATGTCTCCTCTTTTGACCGGTCTTTTCAGCTGTTTAAAATTAGATATTAACAGTTTTGAACATGCCTACATATGATTTTCCACATAGTTTCCAAATATCCATATGAAGAATTTGTTAAATGACACATAAATAAGCAGTAAACATAACCTAATTTTTTTATATTTAATATAATATGCGTTTATAAATATTAAACGAAATCACACATTTTCTTGAATATCTCTAAAACTGCCGATTTGAGATTTGAAAAGAGACTTTCAAGCTCTATCCGAATATATGAAAATATATATGGCATTATATTTTTAAAAAATGAGGTTATGTTTACTACTTATTTATGTCATTCAATATTTTTATTCAGATATCTGGAATCTATCTAAAACATCATATAAGTAGGCATGGTCAAAAATTTCAATATTTAACTATAACTAGTTGAAAATATTGTTCAAAGACAGCGCCTTTTAAATTCAACACATTGTACTGGGTGATTCATAGAGATGGCCCGAAATTTAATAGTAGCAGTTTTAAGAGTCATTAAATTGAATCTGGGAATGTTTCTCAGAAATTGTGTACGGGTTTTCATCTGCTCACGTATGCATGTTGCGCATATTTAAATATTATTGAAATAAAATTAGGATCGCGGTCGTGACTTGAATGTAGCCACTGACAAGAATCAACCCTTTTTCGGTAATCTCCTGACATAATTCCTAAATTTTGTTACATGGAAAATATGTAGCTGCTGATCATGAAGTACCCTACATACCGTAGTCTCACTAGTATTTTACTGTGTTGCGACTCACCTTGTACCAATTTTATTATTATTATTATTATTCTTGCATTTATCTCGAAAACCTTTAATTTTTATC